CAGTTCACTTCTTTTTCTACATTTCTTTTTTTTCGGTCTTTCTCGTCAACACGTTACTGTCCCTCAGTTCCCAGCTTCTCCCTACTTTCAATCTACAGTTTGTCTTTTTCCTTCCCTTTCTTGCCTTCCCTGGTTTCCTCTGTTACATAAGTTCTTCATCCCATTTTTAGGTTCTCCCCCAACTGGTAAAGCTGATGTGTGCAACAGGGCCCAGGGAAGTGCCTGCGTGTGGGGAGATGTGAGTGATCACACCTAATTTTTTTTCTCCTGTTACATAGATTTCTATGTACAACTTTTCTTTTAGTCTCTCAGGAAAGAGATATGCAAGTAATCTTTGGCTTTTCCTCTCCTTCACTGTAGTGTATTATAGAATTATAAAAAAATTAAAAAGCCTTTAGAATTTAGACTTGGGTTTCAGTAACAATTGTTCCACTTACAACCACTCGTACTAGTTAACCAGTTTTTAAAACTTACATTTAAAACGTTCCTTTTATCAGATTAATATGCTTATAGATTATAAAATTCGAACAGTATTTCTAGATTGGTAAGAAAAAATAGCAATTTCCCACACCACATATTCCCACTCCAAATTCCTTCCTCTACGTTCAACTCTCAAGTTTCTGATGTGATGTCCTTATTTTTCAGTCCTGTGTACTGTCTGTGGACATCCTAACCCAACAGGTGAGGATTTAACTCTTCCTCCACCCCCATTTCCTAGACACTGTGGGGGCCAAAGGAAAATCACTGTCCTCCCACCTTCTAAGTCTTTCTAGCTGGGCTAATAGTCAAGTTAGCATGAGATGGGTTAACACGAGGAGGAAACATCCAAATCTTGTTATGGATGACATGTGAAGGTGCTGTGAGAATATGAGACCCAAAGACACACTGGGCAGTTGAGGGTTATTTGCCATTTTGGACAGAGGAGGTGGCAGGGGTGTGGGATTTCAAAGGGAAAGCAGGTAATTCACAGGTAGAAAGAGCAAACATGCGGTAACCAAATTCTTTGGGGCCACCAGGAACAATGGGGCACTGAGGGCAGCTCAGCCACCAGGCTCTGCTAGTCCCTCCCTGTCCCCACGTTGTTTATATTAGGGTGCTGAGGGGATGTCTCTTCCTTCCAGCAGGTTTTTCTGCCTGGATTCCTTTCGGCAGCTGAGGGAAGGGTCAAAGGTTCTTTCTGAGTCTTTTGTTTCTTAATAAACAGCTTAAAATCAATATCCCAAAAAGCATATTTTAGGGTGGCAAAACTTTGGCTCCCTCAACACAGATGTTTATGAATACATATAAGGTCGCCTCCCATTCTCAAAAACAGCTCCATCGTCCTATTGACTAAGTTGCCACTCAGTGTTTGCCTACTGAAATCGTGTGACCACCCTTCATGGCTGAGCACATGCTGTGTCTATTCTACCACTTGTCACTTAATTCTACAGATCCTTTAAAACATTCAAACATATCGAGCATTTGGTAGGTCACACCTTTCCTGGAGATGTGTCCCCAGGGTCTTCTGCTCCAGTCCAGGTGGTCCTCAACCTGCATCCTGGGACCATCCCTGCCCAACACTGGATTCCCACTCACCAGGTTCTAAGTATTCCTGCTTCTTGACTTCCTGGTTTCGGAGAAAAACCTCCTCCAGCATGTTTCTGAAATGAAGCACTTGGCAGATATTTTCAAGCTGCATATCTGAAAATATCTTCACTCTACCCTCACATTTAACACAGTTTGCGGGTAGTTTTTATCGCGCTCTACTACCAGTCAACGTAAAACGTATAAATACGTTTCCCACATATACTGTGTTAACTAACTTTTTCACTGAGAGAACTCCATGTTAGGATTAATTTCTTCAGAACTTTGAGGTAACTGCTCCATTGACTTTTAGCTTCCTGATTCTGTTGAGAATTTCCGTGCCTTTCTGATTTCCAATACCTTCAATGTGGCCCGTTTATTTTTCCTTATGGGAACTTTCTAGGATCTTTCCTTTATCACTGAAGTTTCGCTATGAGTCTTGGAGTGGACCTCTCTGGGTCTATCCTGCGGGGCGTGTGGTGCCCTCAGTATGAGAACAGCCTCCAGACCTGGGAGTCCCTGAATTATTTCTTGAGTCATGTCAGTTTCTCTGCTCTCTCCCCTGTAATCGCTATTTTCACATGTTGAACTTCTTAATCTTCTACTTTTCTTATGTTTTCTCTTTTTTCCATGTCTTGTTTTTACTGAGTGATCAATTTTTTTTTTTACCAATTTTTACATTTATTTAATATATCTTTACTGATTTCAGAGAAAGGAAAGGAGAGGGAGAGAGAGAGAAACATCAATGATGAGAGAGTCAGTGATGGAGCCCACAACCCGGGCATGTGCCCTGACCAGGAATCGAACCCCCATCTCCTGGATCCCAGGTCCACGGTCAATGGCTGAGCCACACCGCCGGGCGACCACTTTTTACATTTAAATTGTTGCTTTCTGAATTTTCAAGAGCTCTTCCTTTTTCTCTGTTCTTTTATGTACCTTTGCCTTCCAAGTGTAACATCACCTTCAGACTACCTTTTTACAACACTTCTTTCTTCTTCTAGTTTGTTTTTCCATTTTTTTCTGTCGACCTCGTGTCTGCCGAGCCTTGGTCATCTGTGTGCGTTTAGGCAGAGGCAGGAAGGTTTTCTGGAAGCTCTGGGAGGTCGGCGAGGACCTAGGACCGGAGGACCCCGTGAGGCATGCGGGCCCCGGGCAGCCTGCGCCCGGCCCTGCCCCTCGTCCTGGGCTCGCTGCTGCCGCTGTCCTCTCGGCTCTGGGCCATCTCGTCCCCGGTGTAGGCCCAGTGCCCACTCCCAGCGCCCACTCCCACTCCCAGCGCCTAGCTCCCGCTCCCAGCGCCCACTCCCAGCGCCGGCTCTCACTCCCAGTGCTCAGCTCCCGCTCCCAGCGCCCAGCTCCCAGCGCCCAGCTCCCGCGCCCAGCACCCACTCCCAGCGCCTGCTCACTCCCAGCGCCCAGCTCCCACTCCCAGCACCCACTCCCAGCGCCCACTCCCACTCCCAGCGCCCACTCCCGCTCCCAGCGCCCAGCTCCCACTCCCAGCGCCCAGCTCCCGCTCCCAGCACCCACTCCCAGCGCCCGCTCTCACTCCCAGCGCCCAGCTCCCGCTCCCAGCGCCCAGCTCCCGCGCCCAGCACCCAGCTCCCGCTCCCAGCGCCCACTCCCAGCGCCCGCTCTCACTCCCAGCGCCCAGCTCCCGCGCCCAGCACCCAGCTCCCGCTCCCAGCGCCCACTCCCAGCGCCCGCTCTCATTTCCAGCGCCCAGCTCCTGCTCCCAGCGCCCAGCTCCCGCGCCCAGCACCCAGCTCCCGCTCCCAGCGCCCACTCGCTTCCCGCAGCCCACGCTGGGCTCCGCCTCTTCCAGAACCTCGCCTCTCCCCGACCGCGCAGCGCGCCTTAGGACGGCCCGTCTCACGCCCCTCTTGGCGGGACCCACCCGGAGCGGGCGCCGAGCTTGGCCTGTGGGTTTATTCCACTTAGAAAAAGTGCCGGGAGAGCCCCGTGCGCTCGCTGAGACGCCCGCAGGTGGGCACCGCCCTCGGGATGCTCCCCGAGCGACAGGCGGGTTCCCCGCGCCGCAGCCTCCGGCCGGGCCCGCGTTCCCGGGACGCGCGGGTCGCTCTCC